AATTCTATTTATAATAGTGATAATAGCAGCTAAATTAAGGAAACTTTATTGTACTGTTTTCCAGGTGCTACTCTAGGCATATGATATATATTAATTCATTTAATGCCCAGGATCATGAGTAGGGAGAAGAGAGAGACAATCACAGAGCTTTAAGGCTTGCACTGGCTCAAGCATACAACCTCTTGAAGTTAGAGTCCTCACATTGGCAAGTAAGAATGTGAGAAAAGAGAGAGAAAGGAGAAAGATAAGCAATAGTCTGCTCCCCAAAGAGTCAGTTTGGGACAATTTTTCAATAGCATTATTGAAGAGTGATTTCTGGGTTTCTAATTATTTCCTCCTTGGCATTTGCCTTCATTAGCAAGTACTGTAAGTAGGAGAACAAGGTGACTGCAAGTTCAGGGGTGTGTGAGTGTGTGTGTGCATGTGTATTGTTTGTATATTCTATATTCTTCTGCTCTCTAGCCCCCTTGTCAGTTAAATAAGTCTTTGGGCAAGTTTTTAACTTCTTTACATTTCATCTAGGCATTTGAAAAATAGAGAAAATGGTGAGGATGATGATGATGATATAGTAAATTGCATTTTAATGGCCACTCAATAGGCATGCCCCTTTTTGCAATGTGATCTTGCAGCTCTTCTCCTGAATCTGGCCTGGCCTGTGGTTTGTATTGACCAATAGCATGTGATAGAAGTGATATTGTATGATTCAGAGGCTAGTGCTCAAAAGCCTAGTAGCGTCTACCTTTGCCCTCTTTACACTAAGCCATCATGGAAAGGAAACTTGTAATGCTACTGGAGGATGACAGGCCATGTGGAAGAGAACCTAGATGGCCAGCCTCCAGCCAATGCTAGGAGTCATGCAAGCGAGGCTATTGTCAATCTTTTGCTCAATGTTTATAGCAGCACAATTCACAATAGCTAAACCATGGAGCCAACTTAGATGCCCTTCAGTGGATGAATGGATAAAAAAGTGGCATTTATACACAATGGAATTTTACTCAGCAATAAAAGAGAATAAAATCATGGCATTTGCATGGATGGTGTTGGAGAAGATAATGCTAAGTGAAGTTAGCCAATCCCCAAAAAACAAATGCCGAATGTTTTCTCTGATATAAGGAGGCTGACTCATAGTGGGGTAGGGATGGGGAGCATGGGAGGAATAGATGAATTCTAGATAGGGAAGAGGGGAGGGGGGGATAGGGAGGAGGCAGGGGATTAGCAAGGATGGTGGAATGTGATGAACATCATTATTCAAAGTACATGTGTGAAGACACAAATTAGGTGTCAATTTACTTTATATACAACCAGAGATATGAAAAATTGTGGTATATATGTGTAATAAGAATTATAATGCATTCCGCTGATGTGTATTTAAAAAATAAAATCAATAAAAAACCAAAAAATGTTTTAGTAAAGGATTGCAATAACTGATATTATTTCTTAAATTCTCACCAAGTACAATCACTTGTGTTATCTCTCCCAGACCTACAGCCATCAGAGGTGGAAGTTTCAGTTTACAGATGAGGAAATTGAAGTTTAGAGAATTTAAGTAACTTTTCCTGGTCACCTGGCTAGTAAGAGGCAGAATCAGGGCTTTGCCCTCAAAGTCTGAGTTCTCTGTGTGTGGACGCTGGTTCAGTTCTCAAGAAATGTTGGTTGGATGAGTGAGCATTCTCCAAAGTCACCAAATGGAACACTCATCACTGCCTTCTTCCTCCTTTTCTCTTATTACTATCTTGTGTGTGGAGGTGGCAGGGAGAGGGTGTAGGGTGATTAGGAGACCACATGGGGAAGACATAAGGAACAGAGGGAGAATGGATAATTAGCTTATGAAGGAAGCACCAAATATATTTGATAATATAAATGCATTAAACACTAGATAAACACAAGCTTCAAAACAATTAGACAGGGCTGGGGTTGCAGCTCAGTGGTAGTGTGCTTGCCTAGCAGCATGAGGCACTGGGTTTGATCCTCAGCACCACATAAAAAATAAACAAATAAAAGAAATTTTTTTTTTAAAAAATTAGACAATATGAAACATGGCTGCTCAAGACCATGACACATAGACATTGTCAGTAAATGAGCCCTTTGCTACCTAAGTGGTCAAGAGGGGCCCCACCATACCACTTCATTCCACTCAGTTCCCAGCAATTGTTTTCATTCTTCCCATTCCATCTTACTCCATTCTTTTCGGTTCCATTCTATTCCTTCCATTTTGTTCTATTCCATTCCACTTCATTCCATTCCACTCCATCCCATCCTATCCCATCCCGTCCCATCCATTTCATTCCATTTCACTTCATTCCATTCTATGTCATGCCCCTCACACTCCACTCCATTCCATACTTTTCCTTTCTTTTCGCAAACATTTAGTAATTATTATGCAATTGTTTAGGTGCTAGAAATACAAAGCCAAGTAAATACAGTCTCTAACCTCCCAAGACTCATATTCAGATTTTTCCTGTCCTCACCCAATAATAGAACACCCCAACCCAGAGTTCAATGAGAACAAGTCAGTGCAAAATCCTCACAAACCAGGTGCTGTATGATAAAGAAAACAACACATAGAGATGTTCTTTTTACATAATTTTAAGCAATTAAGTATGATGCTTTTACTCCTCTTTTATACTTTTATAGGTGCCTAGAGTACTTTTTGAAATTGTTTTCAAAGGACAAGCATTTCCTACCCTAAGTGACTCATTTTAACTTTTCAAAGTACAACCAACTACAGCTGTGTATAATGACTGTTATATAGTAAATGCTCCTGCTAAGTTAGCAGGGATGCCTAGACTATGCTTTAAGAGTCCTGGGAAGTTGCAATTGTAGAAACTGTCTTTGGAAAGAGTACATATTTCTACCCCAGCTTCCCAGGACATTGTCAAGATTTTGCCTGAGCCTCCTCCCCATCCAAAAAACAAAACAAACAAACAAACAAAACAAAACAAAAAACCCAAAACAAACAAACAAAAAACCTGAAAAAACAAAACAAACAAAAAACTGGAACATGACATAACTGACTTTATATCCATTCTGGTACTCCATCAGGGAGCTCATATAAGCACTGCAATGGATTTCATTCTAGAAAAGGGCTTTTAAAAATCTCCGGTGCTTTTGCCATGATCCAAAGCTACAAATCCAGCTTGGGGGCTGAATCAGTTGAGCTCTGTAATACAGGGCTGGGTGGGCCCAAGGGGTGGTGTGCCTGCATTAGAGCTCTGTAGAAGGTGTTTCTGGACACATTCCAGCAGAGCCTGGCCAAGTCTCAAAACTCTCTCTGTGTTTCACAACGGTCAAACCTGGGCAAAAATGGGAAATAATCTCTTTAGGAAAAGACAACTTTTTAGTGTTCTAGCAGATGTATCTATGCTAGTTTTTAATCAATATGTTTCTTTTTTGATACATTTATTTATTTTTCTGTAGTGTTATGTATAATTAAGCTCAGATGTAAATGAATACTCTGTAAATTAATGGTAGTATGGAAGTTTTGATTGAAGCACATTCAGCCAAAATAAGGAGGTGTTCCACCAACAAGCATTCATTTTCAAAAGTAAGTGGTGAATCTCTCGCTTACATTAGTGGCTGAAAGGGAACAGGAGCTGGAGAATTAGGGAGAGCTCAGTGCCAGTTCATGATGGTAGCCTTAAGTCATAGCTCTCCTGCTCCCATTTCCTGTCTTCCTTTCCCACTTTCCAAGCCTAGACAGATCTGAACCCATAATTACCGAACTAGGATAGGTAGGTAAAAGTCTAGGTGGAAAGTGAGAGACTCTGGACATGTTACCCTTTCCTTACTTTAAGTCCAAACTGGGTAAAATGATGGAGTAGAGGCTAATCTTTAAGTCAAAATTAGAGTTTGGATTCCTGAAGTGGATATTTTTGTTAATGGATAAAGATTGAATGCTGGGTTGCAAAGCTGATGTAAAGAGTTTCCAAAAAGTTAAATGGGGCTTTCCTAACTTCTCTTCAGTGATAAAGAGAACTAGTTCACAGGGAAGATTTATGGTAATAAAATAAATAAATAAAAACAAAATCCCATGAGTTGTTCAAGGTACTGGCTATAGTTGTTCCGTGATCAATAACGAAGTATGTGCTCACTAACTGGGAATCACATGTATTATTAGATTCTACCCAATGCAAAAGAAACCAGAGCACTAAGTAAATGTTATGCCATTTGAATAGTGTTGGGCTTTTTAATTTAATTTAATTTAATTGTTTGAATTATTTGAGTTGCTTACTAGGAAACAGCTTAACCCTGCCAAGTGAAACCTGAACTTTTTTTTTTTTTTTTTCCAGAGCTAGGAATAGAACACGGGTCCACACACATGCTAAGCATGTGCTCTACTACTGAGCTACACCCATGGCTCCAATACCTGATCTTTACTGATCTTTTAAAATTACACTGCCTAAATGGTGGCCCCAAACCCTGAGAGGAAACCAAAACCAAATTGATGAGTGCTGCCATCACTACTCCCAGTCACTTCACTCCTCTGTCACCTTACATGCTAAGAGACCATAAGTAGGCGATGCTGTAAAGTGTAGATGTGGAAATGGCGTGAGACTGTTGCTTATCTTTGTGTTCCCAAATCCATGAAAGTGATTTCTGAATCTGCTTTTGCTTTGTGACCCTTTTTCTCCCTTACAGCAGAAATGATGATGACGTGTGTGCAGGTCACCTGCCAGCTACTGATTTCAACTCCTATTTCCTGGTTTCAAGTCATGTGGAAGACCACGAACCCTGATTTCGTTTAAAAAATGTAGCCAACCTATAGTAGGACAGTTATGTCATGGTGGCCTAATAATCTTCACCTCAAAAAGATATAGAAATTTCAATTCAATATCAAAGATTTTTCTCATTATGCAAAATGCATTGGTGTATCATTTGCAGTTAAGACACAGAGCACCTGGTCTGCCCCTGCAGTAGTGGCATCTTTAGCAAAGCGAGTCTTTTCAGGCCATGGGCATTCTGAGACTGTTCACAACCACACCTCAACCCCCACCTTTTACCTCTTTAGTGGTGCTGGAGAAGGGCCAAGTAGTTGATGGTATCCACGATGTATCTGCAATTCCAGTTGCATGCAGATTGGGGTAAGGTTTCTTGCTGCTGTTGTGGCTGTGGTTTTCTGTAGTATTGATGATAAAGGCCTCTGTGGTGTTCCTAATAAGGTTCTCCGGGCTATATGGAACTGTATTAAAAGTAGTGGGGATCTGGGGAGGAGCCATGTTTCTAGTGCTCCTTACTGAAACTTCTGCTCCCAGGCCAGCTGAGGTAAAGAAAGGACAGTTACAAAAATTATTCTCATATCTATAAATATTTATAGATTCTTCACATAAAAACAATTTTACTTAGAAAAAGAAGACACCTTCAGTAATGGGCATGTAGATAAGTTGAGTTGTATGGAAAAAAAAAACAAAGATCCTTTGGGTGGATGACAGTGTCCCAGCAATCACCTGTCACCTTCCATAAGTTTTATGATGAAGGGAGAGTTGTGAAAACTGTGCTATGGGGGGAAAAATGCCAGGTCCATGTAGAAGACAGAATAAATTTACCATGAACATCTCTATAGGATCGCTGGGTTGGTTTTTTGGGGGGTCCACTAATCTCCAAAACTCAATGCAAAATTCTGATTATATGACATGTGTATCCTTTCTTCTATGGATGAATGTCATAATTTTCATCAACTTTTCAAAGGAAATGTTCAACAAGATACCAGGTTGAGAACACTGTTAATGATCTGCCTAACTTCATTGTGAAGTTTGAGGATTCCTTGGGGGAGTAATAACATTTCTTTCTTTTTAGTACAAACATTTTTAAATGTAATTTTTTGTTTTTAATTAATAAATTAATTTCTTTTTTTTGGTACTGAAGATTGAACCCAGGGGTGCTTTGCCACTGAACTACATTCCTAGTCCTTTTTTATTTGTTTGAGACAGGATCTTGCTAAATTGCTCAGGATCTTGCTAAGCTGGCCTCAAGCTTGCAATTCCCCTGCCTCAGCCTCCCAAGTTGCTGGGATTACAGGCATGCACCAACACATTCAGCATTTAATTTACTTTTTAACTGATACATACAAATATAAAAATTGCACATAATAGAGATGTTTTAATACCTTCGAACGCTGTGTAATGTTTAAATCAGGTTAAACATATCTAGCTCCTCAAACATTTATCTTTTTTTATGGTGAAACCATGTAGAATCCAGTTTTCTGAAATGTACTGTACATTATTGTTATTTCTGGTCACCCTACTGAACAATAAACAGCACACCAGAACTTCTTATTACTATCTATTACTTGGTACCTATTGTTGCAAACTGTTTTTAATTCTAATAGAGTGAGTCCCACATCATGGAACTGTTGTATTTTCTAAGCTATCTACCTTCTGGAAGCATGGCAAATTGATTTAAAATATATGAGCTGATAGGGTTAATTTACAGCTTTGCTTTGCAAGGCTAAACCTCCCACATTAAAAAATATATATTATTTTCTGAATTAGTTTCACCTAGCCATGATTTAAAAATGGGCTCTCCATCTTTTGGGGATAGGCTAACATGCAATATCGGCATTTCTAACAATCTCTAAGGTGATGCTGATGATGTTAGTCTTTGGATGCCCTTTGTATGGCAAGACTTTAGAACACAATCCTACAATATGAATCCCTGGAAAATTCTATAAATTATGGGCTAAGGTGATATGTTTAGATGTTTCCTTTGATCCCATCAATGGTGAGTTTTCAGGAATATAAGAACCCACAAAATATTATCAAATTATGATAACCATAACTGAATAGTTTTGGCTTAAAGACTGGCAGATAAAAGATTCTAGTTTTTACTATTCCTTTATTGGTTCATTCATATTTATAAAGCAACTACTATGTGCTAGGTGAAGGTCTCCTAAAGAAATAATTAATTATCACTTTAACATTTAACATTAATTAATGTTCTGTTCTCTTATTGATCACCTTTAAGCCTCATTTCTTTTCATCCCAGTTTCAATGGACTAATCTATTTCATATGATAAGGTATGTAAATAGGAGGATGACTACAAAAAGAGGATTCTCACAGCAAAGCTGCTTTTAACAATTTAATAAGATATAAATAGCCAGCATGGTGAGGCTCACCTGTGATCCCAGCCAATTGGAAGGCTGTGGCAGAAGGATTACAAGTTCAAGGCTAGCCTTAGCAACTTAGTAAGACCCTAAGAAACTTATTTTGAGATCCTCTCTCTCTCTCAAAAAAAAGTGTGGGGATACAGTTTAGTACTTAAGGCCCCCTAAAGGTTCAATCTCCAGTATATATATAAAAGAATAAATACATTTATACACACACACACACACACACAAGCAATTCTCCTAAAAGATAATAAAATAATCATAGCTATTAAGCATGCTTCCTTTGAAATGCAGAGGGTTGAGCAAAGTGCCTTGTACAGAGGGTTGACAGATTTAGCTAATAAAAATAAGTGACACACAGTTAAATTAGAGTTTCAGATAAGCAATCAATAATTCTTTAGTATAACTCAGTGTGTTTAGTGTATTCCAAATAGACAATACTACAAAGATTACATGACATATTGTATATTTCAAATATACTAAAAATGATCACTTATCTGAAACTCAGATGTAACTGGGCATTGCATATATAATTCAGGTATATTAACTCTAGTTGCATATCTACTAGGTCTAGGCTATGAAAGACTTCTAGATGTTCATTTTAGTTTCTGTCTTTTTTCTTCTAAATCATGTACAACTATCACTGTCTTTGTGCCTGGATCAGTTGCTCTGGATATAGACTGACAGATTGATCCTTGAGGTGTTTTCTACATGACATACTCAACCATATTATTAGTGAGGTTCCTTTACAACAAACTCCAAGAAGCAATCTTAATTTTGCAGTTAACTGAGTTAGGTGCTTGAATGTTCCCTTAAATAGACCTTTACCTATTGTGGGGATATAAAGCTTTATGTATATGAAGATCAGCATTTTGGTGATTTGAGCTTTGGCCAATGCTAATTCTCTGAGATGACTACTACCTATGACAATTTTAGCTCTTAGGTCCTTAAAAAAATTTTAATTATGGGGTTAGGACAAAAAAGAAATGGTTCCAAATACCAAGCCTGCAATTACATTCCTTCATATGGCAACCTATGCTTACTCTTCTTCACTAAGGAGTAGTTGGTAAGTTTTTGTCCTAAGAACTTTGTTTTTAACTAACTTACATAATTAATTCAGTGGGTGAAACTGGACTCTCTCAAAATTAGATAAATGATCAAAACAGTCTCACAGTTTCTACAAATAACACAGCTTATCTTACCACTGTGTGTAGCTTTTGGCTATCTTATGGGGAAAAATTCAGTCTCCTGTAATTGTCTTTAATTAACCTTCTCCATATATTTTTAAAACACCTCAAACCAAACATGTCCATTTTCCATTTTAGACTACCCCTCCTTTTATTTTTTTCCAGAGAAAGAAACTACAAAATACTCAGGTCCAGTACCTCTTCATTTTGTGTCTGTGTTTTTAACTTACTTATGCTATTTAAAAAGCCCCCAGAAATAAATCTTGGCCTTAACTTACTTTGTGAATTTTAAAGCCACTCTTTGCAAATGTTGGTAGGAATCAGACTCACCTCTGGTACCTGTTTGCCTTGGAACCCCCTCTAGAAATTGTGATTCAGTAGATTTGATGTGGGACCCAAAACCTGCCTTTCTAACAAGTTTCTTGGGTGATTCTAAGTGTATGGCTTTAGTCATAGTGGAATTCTTAAGACTTCTTATCTGGGTATTGAATAATTGTATAAAATAGATGAAAGGAAAGAAAATCTGTTATAGGAATATACATAGCTATCAAAACAAGTTTATTTTTCTATCTTCTGAATTCTTCCTTGAAATAGATGTATGAATTTATACTAAAGATAGTAGATCTTTGGATACTTTAGTGTCTATAAATTCTTCTGATGTTCTTTAAAAGCGTATATATGTCTCACTGTTCAAAAAAGAGCAGTTTTGACAAATACAAAGAAAAGTCCTTACACAATGGAACAATATGTTAAAGCTATTTTTAAAGCTTTATTGTACCACTGCTACTACATTGTTTTCACATAAATAACAAAATTAGAACACAATTCAAGGCAAAGTGGACCATCCTGCTTCCAATCTAAAAAGTTTTAGCACGTAAATTGCAAATAATATCACCTATGAAATGATTTGCAACAGCTGCATCTTTCTAACACATTTTTATTTTATTTTTATATATATGTTTTATTTTTTGGTACTGGAGATTTAACCTAGGGGTATTTTACCCCTGAGTCACATCCTCAGTATTTTTAATTTTTTTTATTTTGAGATAGGTTCTCACTAAGTTGCTGAGGCTGGTCTTGAACTTGTGATTCTCCTGTCTCAGCCTCCCAAATTGCTGGAATTACAGATGTGAGCCACCACACCTAGCTTGAACACATGTTTTAAAAAGAGCAGTGTATGTGTGTGTATGTGTATGTATATGTATATATATATATATATATATATATATATAGAGAGAGAGAGAGAGAGAGAGAGAGAGAGAGAGAAAGAAGTATGTATTTGTTTAATTAAGTGCTGTGTTTCAGAAATAATTATAATAAAAATGAAACTTTCTGATAGAATGACAATAAAAATGATACATGATTTGTTAGCTTCTCTTCTTTAAATGATACAAATAACTTTAAAGCATGTTGAAAACAGAATAACTTGAATTAAATTCATTTTGGAGATAGAAAATTTTAACTATATTGGTACTTATTATTCTGTAGGAAGATACCAAATTTAATATGCATTTAAAAGTGAGTAAATCATCTGGAGGATGAAACTTCAGAGTGAAAGAAAAATGTTTTATTTTTTTTCATGCATCAGGAAAAATGCATTTAATAGATTATGAAAATCTATTAAACTACTTTATATTTTTTTAAATGGTGGAAAGTGCTCACAGAGCCAAAAAATCAAACAAAACAAACAAACAAAAATCACCCCCAAAGCCCAGAATCCACATTAATAGGTCTCAGGCTGAAAATGGTTGGGGAATTCTGATAATGTGTCAACTATTTTTCAATGGTCATATAAATAACCATAGATGATATTATTTTCAAAGATTATATGAAAATAATGGTCATTACAAGGCCCATGTTGATGATGCAAAGAGAAAACAAACCCTTAAATGTTTGCAACAGCCAACTTGGCCCAAATGTATATACACAAGTCACTTCCTGTCTTTTTTTGTTATTCCCCACAAACT